TGGTCATGACTATAAACTGAAACCAGCGCGGAGCACACGCCATGACTTGCTGTTGTGTCGCGGAAGTGACGTTGCCTATACAAACGCTGAACAACCTGTTCGTCCTGCTCGCCGCATCCCGCTGTGACAATGCGTGGCCCGGTCCCATCCACCTCGTATTTACACAGAGTGGCGGCTGCCGTGTGCTGAGCTGGTCTGACTGTCACCATGACGTCATGCCCGCGCCCCTGACTGCGGCGGCCGGTTCATGTCCGCGCCCCTGACTGCGGTGGCCGGTTCATGCCCGCGACCCTGACTGCGGTGGCCGGTTCATGCCTGCAACCCTGGCTGCAATGTCCGGTTCATGCCGGCGCCCCTGAACTGCGATCTGTGCCCACACCGCTGACTGTGATGTCCGGTCCCCTGCAGGCGTGATATTCCAGGAAAGCCCGTGAGCTCCGTATGAAGTCTGCACTGCTGTTGCTACTGGCGGCGACAGCCGTCTCGACCGCGGCTGTGCCCGCAGCCCGTCCCCAGCCTGACCTGGCCACCGTGCCCAGCATCATCGACGACCTGGTGGCGCTGCTCATGTCGGTTGTGGAGCACATCTTCGAGTGGATCATCGCACACCTGCTACCGCATGCACCGGCGCCGACGGAGCGGGCCCGGCTGCTCCTGGCGCTGCGCCAGCAGGCGCCGCAGCTGCTCGTTCGGCTGCAGGCGGCGCTGGGCGTCAGCCGTCCCCAGCTAGCCGCGCTGCTGCGCGACGCCCAGCGGGCGCTGCAGGCCGGCGCGCCGCCCCAGCCCCAGCTGCTGGGCGCGCTCGCCCCGCTCATGGCCCAGGCCGTGGTCGCCTGAGCTGACTGCTGAGCTGCCCGGCGCAACTGTGCTCTGGCGCCGGGGCGACTGCGCTCTGGCGCCGGGGCGACTGCGCTCTAGCGCCGGGGCGGCTGCGCTCTGGCGCCGGGGCGGCTGCGCGCTGGCGCCGGAGCGGCTGCGCTCTGGCGCCGGGGCGGCTGCGCACGGGCGCCGGGGCGGCTGCACTCGGGCGCCGGGGCGGCTGCGCTCTGGCGCCGGGGCGGCTGCGCACGGGCGCCGGGGCGGCTGCACTCGGGCGCCGGGGCGGCTGCGCTCTGGCGCCGGGGCGGCTGCAGGGCCCATCCTGTATCTCCACAGACGGCCACGCTCTGCTGTCATGGCTCTCAAAATTATCGAATGTTTGGCCAGGGTTTGGTTTATTTGTTGATGTAGTTGGATCACGACGTGAAGTGGAATCACCACGAGTGGCAAATACACTGGCAGCAGAATGGCCCGTCGTATCATTGCCGCGCCGGAAGGCATGACATGCGGTTTTCTTCGCTGGGTGGTCGGGTGTATGCCTGTACATAATATACACCTACCTACTGAGTTGATGGCAGTTGACATTGAAGTCAGAAGAGCATGCACGTTTAGTAAATACTGCGAATGTAAAGTACTACGGCTCGCACACGATGTGGGCTTAATTTGGTGCGCCTCACCATCTGTCCGAGTATGCGGATAGCAACACCTGACTGGTCTGAAGTACCGGACTGCCCTGTGTAACCGCACAGAACGTCGCTCGATGATGAGCCGGCTCACGTGGACATGACCATCGGTCTGATGACCCGTGACTGGTGACACAGCCAGCGGGCTGATGACCCGTGACTGGTGACACAGCCGTCGGTCTGATGACCCGTGACTGGTGACACAGCCAGCGGGCTGATGACCCGTGACCGGTGACACGGCCACTAGGCTGATGATCCGTGACCTGTGACACCGCCACTGGGCTGATGATCCGTGACCTGTGACACCGCCACTGGGCTGATGATCCGTGACCTGTGACACCGCCACCGGGCTGATGACCCGTGTTTTGTGAGCGTGGCCACCGGGCTGCTGACAAGCGTGATGTGGAAACAGCTGACACTGAATTAATACTGACGTGAACTGACGACCTTTGACCCGCAAACCCTAGGCGGCCGAACTTAGGGCGGCGGGTCTGGTGCAGTTCCCTTGGTTACATTGCCAACACATGCAAATCTTGCCATGGAAAACACAATGGCACAATGTTGCCTCCATGAGAGTGTTATAAGCCCCGTTGCCGAAAGGCCTCCCAACGAAAATGGCATCAATATAGTCATCTGCCCTCATAACTTATCATTCAAGGCACATCATAAATCGGTTCCACAGAACATTTATGTTTCGTTAACCCGATTAGTGTCACTGATGACCCGCACTCTGTGCGGACAGCGAGCGAACTAAGGCAACAACGGGACCATGATAACAACTGGACTAACACGACAACCGGACTAAGGCAACAACCGGACTGAGACACCAACCGGGCTGAGACAACAGTCCGAGACTGAGACAACAACCGGGCTAAGACAACAGCCGGGCTAAGACAACAGCCGGACTAAGACAACAACCGGGTTAAGACAATAACCGGGATAAAACACCAACCGGGCTAAGACAGCAACCGGACTAAGACAACACCCAGAATAGCACAACAACCGAACCAACACAATAACCGGACTAAGACAACAACCGGGCTTAGGCGACAACCAGACTAAGACAACAACCGGACTAAGACAATAACCGGACTAAGACAAGGGCAGGAGTAATACAGCAACCGGACTATCACAACAACTGTACTAACACAACAGGCGGGCTAAGGACACACGGAGACGTGCGCCGTGAACCGGAGGGCTCTGTCCTGGGTATACAACTACCAGGCTAGTGTCACAATGAGGCGCATCGGGGGACGTGACCCAGAGCCGCCGCTGACGTGGTCAGCGACCGCTCATGAAGGACATCACTGGACAAGGACCTGGTAAAAGTGACCCCGAACGTTCGACTCATTGCCCGTCATTATGGGTTTGAGTTTCCTTGCTGACAATGTCGACCTTAAATATGCCAGGAGTTATCGAGCAAACATTGGTTATGTTGTCAACGCTCGACGTATCAAGCTGTGCCCATGGTGACGAGGGCCATAAGTGAACAAGGCTAAGCAAAAAATTACACTCAAGAACTAAGATCCGTGAATACGGAAAATGTATAAGGTCTGCAGAGAAACTGCTGTTAAAAAGGTCGAAGTAATTCGATGCCAAAGTCACCAATCACTCGATCTATTGCATTTCAACGCTGCATACGCGGCAGCATGGAAAGGCCCGCGCGAATCACATGCTGCGTTTTCAGAAGGTTACAGCGACCGATACCGCGCAAAAGGTCAGATAATTGCCTGCTCCAAACATCAGACAATTGATTGTCAAACATCAAATGACCGGTGACAAATGACATTACGTGAATTTCAGATGGTCCTCTGAACCGATCGGGGCTGCTGGGTCGATGAAAGCTCCCATGTCGGTCAGGCACCACCAGAACGGGACCGTCACCTGCGTGTCGATCTAAGCCGGAAAGCCCATTTCCCAAGCCGGAACAAGGCCGGGATCCGTGATTTCCATTGGTCGGAGCCCCCACGTCAGCGAGGACCCCTGCGTCTGTCAGTGACCCAGAATGCCTAACAGAGGGCCTGTGCTGACAAGGGTCCCCGAATCACCAGGGGCAGTGTTCGACGGGCACGAAGAAGGGTGCAAAGGACCTTTCGGGACAGACGATTAGGGGTCCGATTTGAGGGCCCGAAGGACGTGAAGGGCTGGCCGAGGCTGCATTAAGGAGCCTGACACGCAATGCCGGGCCTTCAAATGTCGGTCAGCGGACCCTTCTTGCCGATCGCGGGCCCTCTTAGTCGATGAAAGCTCCTGTGTTGATCAGGCACCACCAGTACCAAATAGTCGGTTCCGTGTCGGTCTGAGCCCTGAGGGCCCATTTCCAACGACAGGGACAGGGCGGATGTCCCACGATTTGTATTGGTTGAGACCCCTGGGCCAATGAGGGGTACCCGATGACGGTCAAGTGACCACAGTGCCTAGCAGGGGTGCTATGTTGTCGAGGTGGTCCGAGTTGGCCAGGGACAGTCTTCGAGAGTGCAAACCCTCTCAGGGAGCTGCTCTCCTACACTGAACCATTATAAACTGACAAGCGCGGGCAATCTATTCCCTTTAGTCAGTCAACGCCTGGTTCAGGGGCGTAGCTCCATAACATGAGTTGGGGGAGGGAGGTTAGCGGAGAAAATGACCCAACATACCTCAAAATTTGCCAAGAAACAGGTCTCTCCACAGATTCAGCCAACATCCTTGCCAAAGTTCGAGGTCTTGAGCCTAAGTTGGCAGGGCTGAAGCCCGCACAACTGAAGAGGAAACCTCACCCCCGGCCTTGTTCCTTCAAGCTATTGACTTCAAAATGCAGACAGAATTGCACCTTCCGGTGCTTCTGGCTTCCACGTTTAAGTTAAAAGAGATAAAGTCAACTAAAGCAAAAACAATCATGTCCCTCGCATTCAAGCGAGTAGATTCGGCTATTTTTTGGTGGACGTTTTACCACCAGAGGGCCTTTGTCAACCCCGTGCCTTGCCCCTCCCTTACCAAGACTCCGGCTACTCTCCTGGTAGGAACGACGCCAGTATATCATCGTCCAGTAGTCATATTCACGAGGTACGGATCATCATTTCATTGGTTGCGCCCACAGAACGCTGGCTTATTAGAAGTGCAGCGGTCGCCACACGCGACCGCTGAACATTACGAGGAACATTACGAGGATTAATTATTTCAAAAACGAGGGGTTGCGCGCTTATGCCGCGGATCATCAGTGTCGGTTGTGCAACTAGACACTGTAATAGCGTCCACAGGCTTCGGGCCGACAGTCCAATGCTCGCATCCAAGAGTTGCAGTCTAGCAGGCGTATCTACATGCTACCAGTCCATGCGGGCGTCATCGTTAGATATGATCACGCGAAACGGACCTTAGAAAAAAACGTTTGGAAGGAAGTTTGTTCAACAAGGAAATTCTATTTATTTTTGAAGGCCACTAATTTGGAAGCACATATTAGGTGCGTCGCAACAAACGTGCGTCGCTTTTGTCCCGAGTTCTCTGTCTCCTGTGTGGGTAGGTATGTGAGGGAAGATTCCCATAGGTGGCCTTGTTGTGAGTGTTGTGCGTCAGACGCAAAATTCGATTGGGTTGGACTGGATGAGCTGAAGGTATGGATGGCAGGCTTTTCCACGATCATCTGCTCGACGCTTAGGTAAATAGTCTGTGTATAGTTGAATAAGTTGGGTATGTCTTTCGTGGTCAATGGGCCATGTATTATATGATTTAAGTTGTGTAGCTATTTGTATGATTCATGAAGCTATTTACTATTCATGGTCATTTTTGCTGGATGCGCAAATTATTGGTGTTGTGAAAACCCCGTGTGAGTCCATAATCAAATGATATGGGATTGGATTTGATTGGGTTTATGTATGTGGTGGATGACTACTAATGTCTAAATATCTTATCTCTATTTTGAATGCAATTGAGATTCCTAAACTGTGTGGATTGCTTCCTTAAATGTGTAGGAAATACTAACTAAACACTGAGTACCAAAATTTGGCAAGCAACTGATGCCTAGTATGTCTTTGTGGTATAAGGCTGGTTTAGCTTTGATTATTCCAGCTTCAAGGGCTAGATGCTGTATTCCAGATGTTTAAAGCCTTTGTTAGTGTGGTTTTATGGATGACACCATGTTATGCTATGCAATAGAAGATATTGGATAGGGTTATGTACATCTACTCATTTATATCAATTTGTGCCCATTACCTAACCAGGTATGGCAACTAGGTGCTTGTGTGCATGCTGTGAATTAGTGAAATGCTTTTCAGTGGAGGTTTCAGGTGACATTCTGCATAGCAGAGTGTTAATGCTGTATCCAATGCAGGAATAAAGTATGGTGAAATCTAACAGTCCATAGATGTGATTTAGCCATATTTGGTTATTAGGATTATGTTCTGTCACAAAGTTGCTCCTTTGCGTTCAAAGGCAAAGCTGTTTGTTTTATGCTGTATTGATGTTTTTAGAATATAGGGGAGTACTATTGTGCTAACAAACAAAAAATGAGCTCAAAGTGAATAAGTAACCAAGTTAAATATAGCCACATCATGTGCCACATTTGTAATTGAAAATGACAAGAAGCAACAATATGTTTCTTGCTCATCTCAGGACTTTCACCTGACATAAGCATCCACATATTGTATTGCTATAAATACAATAAATATATGCACTTGTAGGATGAATGTCAATGAATAATAGTGGGCAGTAGATGCCTTGTAGCCTAATTATGCTCCTGTTCACCAGAGTTTTTTCTTCCTTTCAGGGACTGGGCAAGCTGATGCTGCACTAGCCTGCCATTTTTGCCCAGCTTCATCAAGAGTTATGTTGTCATGTGACCAGTGTTTTAATGTAACAACTTCTCCAAAGTTTAGCAGTCTTATGATTAATGAGTGTGGTCATGACATCAATATTTTGTAACAAAAAGCTGTCAAATTTTACTGCAGGTAAGTGCTTTAATAGTCTGCAGGTATATTTTTGGATTTATACTCTAAACATTGCATTTTCTATTCATTTGTGGTAATACTTGGCTCTTAGTTCCATGTCTAATAAGAACTGATATGCAACATGGTGTTGATTTGTATGAGTCCAAGCATATCACTGTAAGTGGTATGATTGAAATTGATAGCGTGCCATCTGCCTTTATGCAAGTTGTTGCATTTTCTGTGGGTACTGGAAGACCATTTCTGTGATTCACTATTTTACAATAGCAGCAGAACTTATACTGTGGATGGGTAGAGGGCAACTCCGCCCTCCACTTTCCTCCAAATCTGCCATCCCTAGCATTGCCAGCTGTGCAATCATCAATTTGAACATGTCTACAAATTCTGGCATGGTTGATATATATATATATATATATATATATATATATATATATATATATATATATATATATATATATATGTACAAACATGTCTACATATAGGATGTTTATGCAATATTTTCAGTGATATTGTTTGGCCATATTGTGCATTCTCCCATCTTATGGGAAGCCCATGTTCCAAATAGCTTGTCAAAATCCTTAACAAACAGGCTGTGTTTTTTTTAGAAAATCTGGTCTCCCCTCACATGAACTCCACAAAGCCCCATTGTTGTCTGCTGTCACCTGGTAGGAAAGCAGGATACAGCTGTGTACTGAGGCTGACGCGTGTCGCGGCCTTGTCAGGCGCCGCCGCGGACGGCCGGCCGCCGTCATGACTGAGAGTCGGCTGGATATGTCGACCGGCGGCCCTTCGGCCAGCAAGCGGCCGCGTCTGGCCAACCCGGCGCGACCCGACGAGGAGCCGCTGGCGCAGCTGCACGCGCGCGCCCTGCTCGGCTGTCTCTGCCCGCTGCCGGCCGCCCAGCTGGGGGCGCTGTCTGCGCAACTGGCCGCCGCTGAGCCCGGCCGCCAGATGCTGGCGCTCAGCACGCTGCAGCTGCTGCAGGAGGCGGCCCTGCAGCAGCTGCGGCTGGGCAGCATGTGCCGGCAGCTGCAGCGGGCCGTGGGCGGGCAGCGGCAGGCGGATGGCCCACTGAGCGCGGCGCTGCTCGAGCTGCTCGGCTCGGAGCAACCTCTGCTCAGCTGCGGCGCCGGTCGCTGTCTCACGCTCTCTGCCCTGCTACTGCCGCCGGGCCGCGCGCAGCACCTGCTGGAGGCGCTCGTCGAGGCCGTGCTCGAGTCGGAGCGCCCGCTCGAGGTGTGTCACGCGCTCAACGCGCTCCAACGACTCATCGAACAGCATGAGGACGAGCCGGGCAGCGGCGGCGCGGAGCGGCCGCGACCGCTGCCCACCGACTGCGCCGCCGCTAGCGTGGCGCCCGACGCCGAGGCGCTCACCGAAATCAAGTGCTCGATCACGGCCCTGCTGGAGAACCGGTGGGTGCCGGTGACGCAGCGCTTCTGCCAGGTGCTGACGCGGCCGGCGCACGAGACGGAGGTACTGGCCTTCCTGCGGCTTTGGGCCACCATCATCTCGGTCAAGAACAACCTGAGCATCGTCGAGACCAAGTCGTTCTACGGCCGTCTGGAGGGCCTGCTCGGCTCGCTGGGCACGGACGCGTCGCCACACGTGTGGCGCGCCGTGCTGGACCTGTACGCCGAGGTGCTGTGCTACGGCAGCACCATCGCGCTGCAGGACTGCGTGGCCGAGGAGCCGGCCAGCCTGGCACACGCGCTGCTGCGTCAGGCGCGCGCCGGCCGCCTGCTGGAGCTAGTGCCGTACGAGCGCGGCGTGCGCGCCTTCGCCGGCGGTGGCGGCGACGCGGCCGGTGACCGACCCCTGCTGCAGAAGACGGTGCTGCTGCTGCTGAAGGCGCTGGCCGTGACGGTGAAGGAGACGCGCTGCGAGAGCAGCAGCGAGGCGTCGTCGGCGCGCTCGGCCGGCGGCTCTGGCTCCGAGGAGCAGGACATGGCCATCATCGAGCGCACGCTGCGCGACGTGGTGCGCCGGCTCGACGCCTGGATCAAGGCGCGCCTGCCCTTCCACCCGGAGACGCCAATGAGCGAGTGGGCCGTGCTGCTGCTCTGCGACCAAGACGACTACCTGGTGGAGGCCATGGTGTGCCTGCTGGACCTGTGCGGCGGGCTAGCCGACCGCGTGCGAGTGCAGCCTGACTTCGAGCGCGCCATCGACGCGCATCGCAGCTTCGTCCAGTTTCTGAGTACGGTGCGCAGGGACCACGACCTTCTGCTGGACTTCCTCATCTCGAACGAGACGTGCTTCCTGCTCTACCTGCTGCGCTACCTCAAGTACGTGCGGAGACACTGGGACCGCTTCACGCTCGCGTGTGCCGGCAAGCTGGAGGAGGTGATGACGGTGTTGATTCGGCTGCGCATGTCGCTGGAGCGGCTGGTGGCGCGCGACCTGTTCCCCTACAACGTGGCACCGATCCTCAAGCTGCTCGAACGCTGCGAAGAGCTGTACGAGCACAACCCGCGAGCCGGCTAGTGGTGTGCCGCGGCGCCCGGTCACCGCGCGCGCGCGCGCGCTGTGTTCTCCGGTCGTGTGGTGAGCTGGCGGGCGTCGTGGCAGCCGCGGCACGTCCCTGGCTCACCAGCTCAACACAAGTGCACTGATAAGTGTGTGCCCCTCTTGTGCGACGCTCACATCTGACGGTGATGCCCCCTGGCATTGCACGCACGCCACGGTGTCATGACTTCACTTCACTGCCGTTGTCGCATCAGATTCTTCTTTGTCGTTTTCGGCAAGGCGAGTTTTTCGCGGAGATGATGTGCGTGCTCGTGTTGTTAGTGTTATAATGTCTTTATGAGAAGCCATTCCAATGACCTAGTGCCTCGTTTATGGAGAGTGTGTGATGATATTCTTGTGGTTATTTTCCATTGCCTTCCAAAGGACCCATTATGCTTCTCTTGTCATGTCATTCAGCCTGCCAGGTGTTTTCTGAAGCAAGATGGCATGATGGACAAATGCGTTGTTTCATTGGAACTGCGTGGGTGAATGATTTCAAGCATTACGACATCATTTGTCTTCTGTGGAAAGCATTCCACAAGCGGCAAATGAACTGAAATGGCAATACCTGTTGGGAATCATGGGCTTGTGGATGAACTACATAATATTTTCTGCAGTCCCCGCACACACCCACACAGGCCATTATTACATGTCATCCATGTGAATGTAATAACTTACATTCGTCATGCATTTTACCCCTATACCTATCCGTTAACTACTTGTGATTCCGACTCAGACTGCCGCATTCATTCGCGTTGTCTTGGAAACCGCGTTGAGTTGTCCACGCAGTGGCTGTTACGATTTTTTCAACACTGATTCAAGATCATTGCGATCGGGGAATGTGCATACTGGCAGATGTCCTGCTCATGGACCCTGTTATTTCGCTGCTCGGTTGGTAGTTTCAGGCATCCATTGGGCGTGTTAATGGTCGGCGCTAGAATCCATTGGGCGTGTTAACACGCGCTTGGGTGTGGGCGTCAAATTGACCCCCCAAAGGTTTTTCCAGAATGGTTTCGGAACTGCGCGGCGTAGCCGCGCCAAATTTTGCATAGTTGGAGAAAACTGAATAGCGGATCGTTTAGACGCAAAAATTTAGATGTACATTGTAAGGTTGCCGACCTACGGCAGGTCAAAGTCGGGCCACGGTTTCGGCGAAGGCAATTTCCAGGGAATCCTTCAATCTGATCCAACAACGGACTGTTAGACGAAGTCATACATATCTGAGATGCTTTCTTAGGCAACACAATAGTTGAATGAGCAAATGACATTGACCTAAGGTCAGGTATGAAGGCCACACCAAGGTCAAAACCGACCTGTTTTATTACTCCAGGGTTTGCTGCACGGGATAGTTTCTGGTGCTCATTTCGAACCTATTGATAGCAGGAACCGCATTATACACCTTCCATCGACTTCTTAGAGGTCAGAATAGGTCACTGACCTAAAATAACCTACGTCAACATTTTGTTTTGGGAACATGCTGCCTAGCGTTATCTTTGTCGTTTAGTCAAATGCAAAACTTAAGGCAATCTTGTATGATTTTGGTCACATTGACCTTCAAAAGGTCGAACAAGGTCATTGACCTTAGATAAGAGTGCGACCTTTTGCATAGAAACGGTTATCTATGTTCTGGGGTCACTTTGGAGACCAACCTAGAACTTGACCTTGTTTGATCAGGTCACAACCTAGTAACCTGAAACTTTGACCCAAGTGAGTTCACGTACAGGTCAACACACCTGCAAATTGGGTGTCTCTAGCTTTCCTAGTTCCCGAGATCTTAGGGGGGTGGGTCGAATTGACCCCGCGCCCGAGCGAAAGTATCTAGCCGGCCACCCGGGCGCGTGTTAATGGTCGGCGCTAGAATCCATTGCGTGTGTTAATGGTCGGCGCTAGAATCCATTGGGTGTGTTAATGGTCGCGCGTTACGCCAGAACAATCGAATGTGTGGTGAAAATGGTGGTGTGCATGTTACGGTTCATACCCACAATGATTTGGAGACCTGTAAGAATACGCAATGCGAGCTGCGTGTGCGTTAAGTTTTTGTGATAAGTGTTTTGTCATCACTCCGCACCAGACCGTAGAATTAAGCTCTGAATTAGCTTGCCTTGGTTGATCTTGACCACCGTTCTCGTTATCCAGTCGAATTTGTATACGCATCCATGAAATAGAACACCAATGATTTAAACTCAGGAAACAGGGATTTACGAAGTTCAAACACAAAACATAACTCTGTATCCGTTTGTTCGGAAGTCTGTCAGGCTCGGAGTCATGGTTTAAACCCGTGTCCGGACCGGCAGTTCAGATTCTTTATAGCGGGAGCTTCCTGTGGGCAATGCATCGTGGCAACGCATTTTTCATTCCAGGGCAGGTAGTGCAGACGAGTTAGTGGCGACTTGGTGATCAAATATTGGGATCAGATGGTGGAAAGGTGGTTAGGAGGTGGACTTCTGTATTTAGTTGTGAACGGTGAAGCTCCGTTGCGTCATATCAATCACTCGAGTGACTCATGTAGTTTACATTGTTTGCGAGCCCGTTTGTATTGTCATCAGCCATGTATATAGATAATGCCGCATTTGATTCGCACATGGATCCATATTGTAATAATCATTCATGTTTGTATCTCAGCAAGTGGTTGGAAGCACAAGCCTGAGCCAGTTACGAATGCAATTTGTGGATTAAGGCCACCGAAAACCACGGAGAGGCTCCATTGTGAGCACCTGTACAGAGAAAACTTAAACTTGGCGAGGTGCCCCTACGCATTTCCGGTGTATATACGAGGAACTTTGGAGGACATAGAAGTCACACATGATGTAAGGAGCTTTCAAATCCGTCTTTTGCTTGACATCAGATGGAGCATTGTCCAGAATCGCTCCACGAGTTCTTCATTCAGGCATTCAGTCGTTGGTAGGAATGACTCCGGTATCGGAACGAATGCGACTGAAGACAAACACAAAGTTTCACCTGACCTGGGGTTTTGGATTCCTCAGCTCTTCTTGGCATCGTCCCAGCCCCAGTCACTTCACCTCGACGTGTCCCGCGAGAATGATGTGGTGCAAAGCGGTGGTGTGTTCAAAGTGCAACGACGATTGTTTTCTAGAGTGTGGTGCAAAAATGATTTATGGCGTTATCCGCTAGATTCTCATGAGTGTGTATGGCATATCGGAGCGTTCCAGGCACAGAACTATTCTGTACAGCTTTTTTGGGATGATGCAGTGTTTACTACGGGAAACCTTTCGCTGACGGGCTTCGACGTGAGTGTTTCCTTTCAAAATCAAACGGCCCTGCAGTACGTTTCTATTGATAACAGACAAGTGTCTCGGCTTCCAATCGTGGTAAAAATCCGCAGGAATCGATTCCATGCCATCCTCCGCGTCTATCTACCCAGTGTTTGCATGGCCGTCATCGCATGGATTTCTTTCTACATTCCGGACGAGCTCGCCGAGGGGCGCGTCCTGGTCACCGTCCTCAACCTGGTCGGCACCATCCAGATGTTGCGCGTGCTACATCATGATCCGCACGGGGGAGTCATCAAGGCGATCGACGTGTGGATGATCTCTATCATCGTCTTCATCTGGGTGTCCGTCGTCGCGTGTCTGCTCGACCTAGACCTGGCGTTTCGCGGCATCGAGCGCGAGCAGCAAGAGTCGCTCGACGACCTGGTCTTCTTCTACCGGCAGCCGAAGCTGGCGCGCCAGCTCGCTGACACCGGACACCGGGAGCTGTTGCAGCGGCGCCGCTCGACCGTAGTCGAAGCAGGCGTGCTTGCCGCCCGGCTGCGGCTGCAGCGGCGCGCGGCCACCGCCGGCCAGCTGACGTTCGAGCGGCGCCGCTCGACGCGCGTCGGCGACGACCTGTTCTTCGACGCCGAGGCCGACGAGAGCTCACCGGCGGCGGAGCGGGTGGAGTGGAGCGATTTCTACCAGTGGGCCCACGAGCGGCACGCGGCCCGCCACCAGCGGCCCGACGAAGCAGAGCTCGAGGACGACAGCTCCCAGTGGAGCGTTAAGTCGCTTTTGCAGAACATGTGGGACATCCGCAAGGAGTACCGCTGGTTCACCTGGTCCGACTATGTGTCCAAATGTGTAGAGATCATGTACCCCGTCTTCTTTTGCGTGTTTTTGGTGATCTATTGCCTGGTTTTCGTGCCCTACGACGAATCGTACGACGCTGACGTCTAAATACAGGTATCGTCGTCGTCTAAATAAACAGGACAGGTCGTCTTTTTAAATCATAGGAAGATGGTGTGTGGTTAGTTTTTTTTGCAAGATTTTATCGAACCTTATGAATGAATGGATTTTTGGTATCCGAGCTCACGCTAAGCAGGGTTGGTTGTGCGAGCCCTGGCCCCTACCATCTGAGCCGGCAGGTTTCAATTTTTGTTTTTGTTGTTATGGTGTTCTCTGCCAAATGACTGATACTTCAGTATTCGAATTGAGTTGTCATGGTCTTTACGGCTACAACCGAATGACCAAACGATACCCAATGATGCAAATGTAAGATACTCTGCGCCCATATTAAGCCAAAGTGAAATTATGGACTGCCGGGCATATTGAAGCATTGGTGTGAACTAATGGTGGACGGGTATCGATGGGGCTATGGTATCACCCCATGAGGAAGGATATCCGGGATGCAAAAAGGCTGCACAATCGACGTCGTGATGGCCGCAGTTCCAGTTTATTTCAGCTCCGCTGAGCCATATTCGTTCACTACTCTTCCAGTGGTATTCGAATGCTGTTGAAACACAAACATACAGGTGACGTCAACGCGGGTTGTCCGACGAAAACGTGTATTCTTGATAACCATGCGCACGGCACCTCGGGTTTAAGGGTCATCTGGACTGAGCGAAGTAGGTGGGAAAGCGTATTTGCGTGACTATATACCAGCCGTTATAGGAAAAGGTGAAAGCGACACCTCATTTCATATGGCGAAATCACCATTAATGCTAATCGAAAACTGCCGAATAGTGAAGCGAGTGAAATTATTCGGAAACGCACAAATGAGCATGACTTTGCCACTCACTCGGTGGCTCCACCATTTTTCATGACTACATGACCGCAAAAGTTGCGCCTGCACGTGATGCAGATGAAGCTTCTCATCAACATCATTATGACAGAACGCCTTCACTCGATTTAACTTGCGTGCATCTGTGCACTGCGTAACTGGCGCTACCTGTGATGACGGCAAACAAGTCTAGGCAGTCATCATGACACGACGACACAAGTCTTCGAGGCAGCTCGACTGCAACGGCAAGCAATGTGCATCGCACACGATCCAAATGACGCTGCCCTGGCGCATCAGCGACCCTAGTTTAACCTTAGTTTAACCCTAATTTAAATCGGACACGGACTGGTAGCGAAAAGACGGGAGAGCACACTACCGTGTCGTTAATGCAGGTGACAACACCGTAGAAAGAGCGCCAGAAAAGAGGTTGCTCACGTTTCAGATGACGGGAGTTGTCCTCAACAAACCATTCTTACCAAACAGACATTTCCAAAACTCAACACTGATAAAACACAACATGGCGACCCCTAAAACTGCGTGGGCTTGACCCGACCTGACCAAGCCTTTCTCTGCTCGAGAGGCGATTCCGACGCTCGGGCGACGAATGCGCCGCCGCGTCCGTGGCACAGTATCACCTGCGGCGCGCCGCCGCCGCCACGCCTTCAGCTGCAGCCGCTCTGGGCACATGGTGTCGACAACGAGTAACTCCCCGTCAGTCCAGACACGGGGCGGAACACGGCCCACAGCCGGCTTGTGAGAATGGCACGGTTACAGCAGTCTCCTCCAAACAAGCAGCACAACAACACAGCCAAGCACGCTCGGCCTTAGCCACCCCGGCCAACGAGGAGCGTCACCTCGGCTGCTAGGAGGTCGGCGCGCCTCAGTACCACCCACCCTTGTAATTGAAGTTGACCTGCAGCAGGTACTGGATGTGCGCCTGGCCGACATCGTACACGATGTACTCGTTGTAGAGCAGCGAAGTATCCGTGATCTTCGACTTGCTCGGCTTGCCAAGAGGAATCTCCACCTTCCCCTCCGTGAAGTGCGACTGCAATGAGGAGAGGGAAGCGTCCATGGTGCACGAGGCTGGCGAGCTGGCCGCACTGTTATCCCCGGAGACGCACCCCGGGGAGGCACCCTGGACAGGATACCACTGTCATCCCGGAGGCGCACCCTGGACAGGATACCACTGTCAACGCCGGAGGCGCACCCTGGACAGGATACCACTGTCATCCCGCAGGCGCACCCTGGACAGGATACCACTGCCATTCCCAGTGACACATCCTGGCATGATACCACTGCCATCCCTGAAACGCACGCACCCCGGGACACACCTGGCAAGTACCACACGCCCCCGGGATATACATCCCAGATGCATCACTGCATGCCCGGAAAGCAAAATCTCGGACACGACTCCCAGCAAGCCCTGGAGAGACACTCGCCGGCCTTAGGTACCTCAGCTCGGCTCGGACACTCTTCACAATCACAGCCAACGAGTGAACACGCTGCCCCTTTAACAAGGCATGAAGTGAAACCATTCAGCTTCCAACAAAGCGGGGCGAGCACTTGAACCGTTTGAGTATAATGTGCGTACCCCGAGCAAACGGAAAACACATCCAGCTGTCCAATAGCCTGTTTAAGGGTGCCGTGTGTCAAAAAATTGTACGGATAACTGCTGCAGGCGAAATATCGTATGAAAAGGACCGCCTGGGCCAGCTACAACATCGTGTCACAAAACATCGTGAGCAAAAGATTGTGTGCGAACATCGTGCGAATACGATCACACGATATAGAAGTCAGGGGACAATAGTGTAGAAATAGATTTCGCAGCGCAAAAGTTCGGACGCCAGGATTGTAAATAAATGTCGTATGACACAAACGAGCTATGAGACAATATATATATATATATATATATATATATATATATATATATATATATATATATACATCGGCAACAAGATCACATGAGGTACGGATTGTCAGCAAACACTGCAGTGGTCCATCCACCCATCGTCAATGGTACCATGCTCCATACATCGCAACATCGCAAGCAAAGGGGTTTATGTAAAAAAAAGTCGCAAGCAGGAGATCGGACGGAAAAACAGGATATCAATAATATGGTGAAAGATAGCACAGCAACATATGATATAGAGCTAAAGAAATATATAATTCATTGCAGGCAAACGATCAGGCAGGGAAATATATAATACCCTAAGAAAACAAAAGAAAAGCATTGACTACAACATGTAGGGGCCAGGGCAGCTGCTAGCATTGCAGGCAGACGGCGGTGTACTTGGCTTTTATGTACATTCAGCTGCCTCAACTTTACACCACGTGGCCATAATCTGGAGGAGGTTTTGGCGCTGAATTTGTCAAACTCTGCACAATGTGTCAGTGACCTCCGGTGATGGACAGCCTTCGGAGGAACAGGGGGGGGGGGGGGAGGAGGTAACACAATTATGCCTCCTATCGCTTTTTTCTTTTTAAAGAGAACGTGACGCGCGTCGTCACGCCCCTTTTATGGAGCATCAGCCACTGCAATGACCAAATTAGCGCTCAGGGGCCTAGCGTAGCCAGGTTTCGAACCCGGGCTCCCCGCATGAGAGTCCGACGCACCTGCCACCCCGCCATTACGCCCCCAAGGTCCCATATTTGGCGACTGAGAGCTGTCCTTCAAAGCCCATGAAATGCCTACAATTTTGAGGAGGTTCCACCCCTGGATGACACCGGCGTAGTGGAGGCATGAAGCCCGAAGTCGACTGGCTGGCGCGAACCAACTTTCTCGCCGGCAACGACCCAAGATCCGATATCCGCTCAGTTCCACTCGCCTCCCGGTAGGTGGGGGTGGAGGCGTACTCATTTGTCGGTCAGGCCCTGTGACACAAGATGTGTCTTTCTGCGAAGTCGCCCTTCCGATGTTTATCCAACACCTATGCTCCAGACGAAATTTTGCCAGTACTACCCCTATCCAGTAGGACATTTTGACAAATTACCTTTCCTCCAAAGACCTTTAACCCCTACCTGTTTTCCGTAATGCCTTTAATCCAGCACGACCTTTCACGATACAATCTTTTATACATGCATCTTTTGCCATTCCGATCATTTTGTCGCTCGATCTTTTGACATACGACACTGCTTACAATCACCCATCGTGCGACCTTTTGCCCGGTTACCCAATGTCCATCCAGCACGGCCCACCCCCTTCGCTCCATGCCACCACATCAGTGGATGGCGGCGCGGCGCGAGACACTCACCTCCTTGGGGTTGGGGCACGTCTTGCCCAGGCCCTTGGTCGAGTGTTTTCCCGTGGGCAGTTTTGTGACGTACTCGGAGCTTTTCTTCTCGTACCTGACAACGGCAGCTTCCGGGTAACGGTTCAATGTCACGGGCCACCGGCAGCATTATCAAAGCGACGGCGGATTCGTTACGCGGAAACCAGCTCCACCGGTGTCACATCTGACGTCAAGGCTGCCGTAACAGTCAAGAAAAACAGTACGATCACACGCCGGAATCGTCCGAGGTAACGGTGAAAAATGCATCCGCTCTGAGTGTTGTGTAAACGTGCCGAAATCAAAATTTTATCGGACGTTTCGTTGTCGTTCGTTGTCGGAACGCGGCTGACAGTAGATTTCGCAGCAAAAAACCCAAGTCTAGCTGTTATTTTTTTCCCAGTCGTTCCGGTCAGACAACAGCTGCATTGCAAACTGTAAACGCCCCCGGTCCCCGAGGTGCTGTCAGAGAGCGAGGGGGGGGGGGGCACCCTTAGTCTCACTTATCTCACTTTAACACCCTGTCGGTTCTCGGAGTGCTGATGGAGCTCCACCTCAATCCATCCCCTTAAGAAAATTCTGGATGCGCCCCTGCTCGGTCCGCCCAATTTCACTAACATCACGATCCATGTACGCATTACGCACAACCTTCCCTGAGCCCCATCTTTACCATAGTTATATGCATACAAGTCCGTGCTAGTCACGCACATTAACCACATTTGAACGAGTACCTCATCCCTCAAAACGCCAACCAGGCAGTTTTCTGACTGTATCGGTCCGTTTCTACCATGCCGTTTGCAGCCTGCGCGCATGCACACCCAATGCACTCACATGTTGCCCAGCGCCACCTCGCAGAGCAGCAGGAGGCCGCGAGGGTTGTCCCGCGAGGCGAAGCAGTAGTTGGCCGACTTGGAGACCATGTCGGCGAAGTAGATGCCCTTGCCGAACATGTATCCGGTGGCGGGCGCCTCGGGTGGGGCGATGCGCAGGCCCTGCCGGACCGGCGGCGGTCAGACCGAGCACGTGGCAGGCCACGTGCAGCACGTGGCGAGGCGACGCCCAGCACGTGATCAGATGGTGAACGCAGCCGAGCCAGACCACGCAACAAGCAGCCGGCCGCCGGCCGCCCAGTGATGGTCCGTCTGCTCATCAGCTCGGTCGGCGTGTCCGGTGACAATTATGCGAAGTCATGCCACTTAGATAAGATGTTGATGGAGCCTGTCCCACAGAGATGATCGCCCAACCACCGAGATTTCTGGGACTTGTTTTTAGCGCACGGCTTTTCCAAGGTCATTCTAGCCAGACTTTGTAGCCGACGCCAGAGGGGAAAACGGCAGGGACGAAGCAGCCAGTGACAGGTAAAGAGCAATACCAGGTATTCAGCCCAGTCGATGATGGACAGTACGGGAGAAGGACAGCACATATCTGATGACAACATCTCCAACCGCAACCTCTTGCGGCCTCTGTGACTAGTTCGAACGACCCATGCTTGTAGTAATCATGCTTGTATCGTCCAGTTCCCACGAAAATCCAAAAACATTCCTGAATGGGCGCTCCATGACCTCGTGCGATCGATGCATTTTAACGCTCTATTTATCACGTACGGATACGATACCCCACACATCCTTACTACTACCCATGTTACTTGTTCCTTCGGCGATCACTGCAACGCCCAGCCAGCTCCGTCGTCCACCGTTTGGCCCAGCCCCTTGCTCGTTGGCCAGTCGGCCCGAATCCAAAGGGTGGGCTCAGGATCCCAAAGGGATTCAGACACGTGTCTGTTGGTCACATCAGCATCCCGGCCAGATGCTCGCACCGTGAACGACAAATTAGCTCCAATACGACTGACACGCCTTCAAAAACAGACCGTCACGCCCTACGGGGCAGTAGCCACGCCCGGAGTCAGTAGCATGGTCGCACTGAATCCACCGTCGCAGCCGCCACCACAGCCTCGCCCACCCCACGCCCAGTCTCCCCCCCCCCCCCCCCTGGCCTACTCCGTCCACCCGCCCAGTGATCGCTGACCCGAGACAAGTCACCCGTAACCCGTGACTCGCCACCGGAGACCAGTGACCCGTGATCAGAGGCCAGCGACCGGAGACCGGTAACCAGTGACCCGCAACCCGTGACCCGTGACCGGAGACCTGTGGCCCGTGACCGGAGACGCATGACTCGCCACCGGAGACCAGCGACCCGTGATCAGAGGCCAGCGACCGGAGACCGGTAACCAGTGACCCGTGACCCCTGACCCGTGACCGGAGACCAGTGACGCGTGATCAGAGGCCAGCGACCGGAGGCCGGCGACCAGTGACCCGTGGCCGGAGACCTGTGACACGCCGCCGGAGACCACTGACCCGTGATCACACGCCAGCGACCGGGGACTGGTAACCAGTGACCAGTGACCCGTGGCCGGAGACCTGTGATCGGAGGTCAGCGACCAGTGACCAGAGACCTGTGACTCGCCGCCGGAGACCAACGACCCGTGATCAGAGACCAGCGACCAGAGACCGGTGACCAGAGGCCCGTGACTCGTTACCGGAGACCACTGACCCGAGTCGAGCGTTGCGGAGGACGGGCGGCGCGCCAGCCGTACCTGCGACAGGATGCCGACGAAGTTGGCCATGCGGGAGCCGTGCCAGAGCAGCTTCTTGTTGTGCAGCTTGCTGAACGGCTTGTAACGGCTGGCCTCGCCTTGGCGGCTTACGCAAAACACCTGCCCGGGCACGCAACGCGTGTGAGGGGCACGCGGGACGTGTGGGCGGCACACGGGACGTGCGGGGCGGCACACGGGACGTGTGATGGGCACATGGGACGTGTGGGGGACACACGTGACGTGTGAAACAGCACATGGGGTGTGTGAGACGGCGCACGGGACGTGTGAGGGACTCACGTGTGAGGCGGCACACGGGACGTGTGAGGGGGCTCACGGGACGTGTGAGGGGGCTCACGGGATGTGTGAGGGGCCCACGGGACGTGTGAGGGGGCTCACGGGACGTGTGAGGGGCTCACGGGATGTTGTGCGGTACAGTGGCGGCACAGCGTTGCCACTGTCGAGTAACGTTTACAACTTCCAGCGGCCTTCCCAAATCTGAATATAAGGAACTTAAAGGGAGACGATAGCCTTGTTTATGCCATGGGCAGTCACGGTACACTTTTCAGTGTTCTGGTAAGTGACCACTAGTCCAAAGCGTGCATAACAGGCGGCTCTTGCAGCTTAAAAAGACGACACTCTCTCTCTCAGTCAGAGCAAGAACGCGCACCCATCAAAAGACACCACAATCAACCATTGCACCAGCATCCGCCTCGGCACCCTTACTACCACGCAAACACTCTGAACCGCACATGTTATGAGCTCCAAGCTACAGCAAGCGGGCCGTGCCACTCGCCTGAGGCTGCGCGGACCGTGCAGTTGGCGCCAGTGGGGGCGTGCGTGTTCCTGAGGCCCACTTCCATGAAACGCTCACCCGCGCCTGCTCTAAGGTGTTGCTGGAGTAAGTGGTGGCGTGTGTGTTCCTGAGGCACATATCTATGAAACGCCCACCTGCCCCAGCTCCAGGGTGTAGTTGAAGTGGGTGGAGGCATGCGTGTTCCAGAGACGCATCCCCATGAAACGCTCACCTGCTCCAGCTCCAGGGTGTAGTTGGAGTGGGTGGAGGCGTGCGTGTTCTTAATGTAGCACTCAAGCAGGCGGAACTGTTCCGACTCGCGGTCCAGAACGTCGATGTTAGCCTTCAGCTTGCGGTAGTGCACGTCAAGTGGGTCTTCCTCAGTCTGAGCTGCATCCGCGTCCGCTGACTTCAGGATGTTGAAGGCCAGCTCAATCTCCATTAGGCTGGATACCATATCCACCTTGTCCTGGGTCAGAGTCACAAACTGGGTCAATTGTGCCCCTCGCCGGGCAATCCGACCACCGAAACACGTGCTTTCGCCTACTTTCACGCCCGAAGCATCCTTTATGACATCACGATGTCATGGTCAGCAGGTTCCAATTCGATACACGCTCATACAGCGTGTCCTCCATCTTTCGTTGACGAAGATTAAAACATATTAGCAAAAGCAGAGTGGAGCTTCCCAAAAACTCTAGGGCAACCATATTGTAAACTGGCAAAATATTGTTCCACACACCAGACAGCAAATGCCAGATATAACCATTTACCCATAAAGCTCACTCAAATCATCTGAAACTCACATGCTCCCTTTTGCGTAGAATCCAAATTCCGACTACTCCCTTCCTACCATGAAATCAGGATAGAGTGATGATAATGACGACGATTTGGGCTTCAGGGTGTGCCGACTAACCTGGCCATATAGTGCCCGTAGGAAAGGAAGGAGAGAACGTCCAAAGCATGCCGGCGTGCGACCCAGGACCGGGCGTTCCGCGTGCCATCATAAGACCCCTCCCCCCGTGAGGAGGACCGAGCGCTCCGCGTGCCACCAAAAGGCGCCGCCCCCCCCCCCCCCCTCCGCCCCCCCCCCCCCGGCAAGCAGCACCGGGCGTTCCGCGTGCCATCATAAGACCCCTCCCCCGTGAGGAGGACCGAGCGCTCCGCGCGCCACCAAAAGCGCCGCCCCCCCCCCCCCCCCTCCTCGCCCCCCCCCCCCCGGCAAGCAGCACCGGGCGTTCCGCGTGCCATCATAAGACCCCTCCCCCGTGAGGAGGACCGAGCGCTTCGTGTGCCACCAAAAGGCGCCGCCCCCCCCCCCCCCCCCCTCCTCCGCCCCCCCCGGAGCAGCACCGGGCGTTTCCGCGTGCCATCATAAAGACCCTCCCCGCGAGGAGACCGAGCGCTCCGGTGCCACCAAAAGGCGCCGCCTCCCCCCACCCCGGCGAGCCGCAGCCGAGCGCTTAGTGTGCCACATAAGTTTCGCCCCGCAACCTCTCCCCCCACCTCCCGCGAGCAGGACCGAGAGCTCCGCGTGCCACCAAAAGGCGCGCCCGTCCCCTCCCGCTCGCGAGCAGAGCTGGGCGCTCCGCGTGCCACCATAAGGTGCGCCCGCCTTTCCCCCTCGCGAGCAGGGCCATGTTCTCCGCGTACCACCATAAGACGCGCCCGCCCCTCTCCCCCCCCCCCCCCCCCGAGCAGGACCGGGCGCTCCGCGTACCACCATAAGGCGCGCCCGGCCCTCCGCCCCCTGATGGGACGAGGCTCTGCCGCTGACGGCCAGCCTGGCGGCGTCCTCACCTGTATAATCTTCAGGTTGTCCAGCAGCGGCGGCTTCTTCATCCCGAAGTCGTGAGGGATCAGGGTGAAGAACCTGGGCAGGGATATGGGCGTCAGGAGCCCGACAGGTGGCGTTCTCGGGAGCAGAGTTCCGTCCCGGCGGCAACAGCCTGCCCACACACCTAACCCAGCTGAATACCCCACCTGGTTCGAACACCCCAGCTGAACAATATGCTGAATATATTAAATACCCCAGCGGGCTCGATCACGCTAAAACGAACATAGGTTAGCCAGCCACATCCCAACAGGTGCCCACGCCAGGGCGGCGGGCCGCGTGTCACCTGTTGGAGCAGTCGAGAAGCCTGGCCGCCTTGCCCGGCACGTCGCCGTCCGTCTCCACCAAAGTCTGGGCCTCTGTCAGGATCGTGAACGCCTTCTGCATCTGGCTCTTGCTCAGCTTGCCCAGCGGCATCTTCTCCATGTCGATGTCAAACTCCACCATGGCCTGCTTCATGTTCTTCACATCGAAGATGGTGCAGATCAGCTCCTGCACGGCCTTGTCCAGCGTAGACTTGGAGCCGACGCTGGTCAGGCTCTGCAGCGCCTCTTCATTCTGACGGCCAGACCGCGAGTCAGAGCTTCCGCTGCCCACCGGCAGGGCATGGTCGGCCCAGGACAGCGTCGGGCACCCTGTCCCGACTACGCTACGGTGAGCATCCGCACTGCATCAGTGCACGTGCAATAGCACTTGGCTGTTCAAACAGCAGTCGTAAGCGGTGTGTGAAGCACTACAACATGCTCAGATATCAGGACACCAGCTTAAGTGAAAAGAAGGAAATGATGACCTAGGAAAGCTAAGATATAGTATGAAGTACGTTTGTAACGAGGCGCAGTGGCTTATATCAATACACTGATAGAAGTAAAGACAAGTGCAAGAGGGGGGACACTAACCAGTAATTTGTCACACCACCATACACCCTGTGCTGCGCCATGCGCCGCACACACCATGCGAGCAACACGCGCCGACGCCGCTACCGTAACAAATGACCAGCCTTGGCCGTGCCACGACGGAGCAGGCCAATCGTTCTAACTCATCCGGGACGCAGAAACAAAGGGGACCAACAGCGGGCTGAGGTCCCCTCAAACCTTCTGAAAATGCAACATCGGCCATGTGTGCACTGGTCGATGCGACCAGCTAGGGCATTTTTAAGCACACCTCTCCCGCTAAGGTAGTTTGAGGATACCTTTCGGGCATGTTGCGGAATCGCGGCCAAATTCTCGGCAGCCTATAGGGCATCCATCGTGCGTGTTTTGACGACAGAAACGTGCTCCTGAATTTTCTGGCTTTGGGACAGCGGCGGTTTTTGAAGAGCACTGCACGACGATCTACGGCCGGCGCGGGCGGCGGGCGGCAGCCGACAATGCCGCGGAAGGTACGCGGCGGGCTGACGTTGCTACATCAACGGAGCCACTTATCATAAATGTATGCTCAGAATGCGTAAAAGACACACAGTTGAACTCATAATTGAACAAAAAATACGCTCGTTTAAGCTCTGTGCCGCCACGAAGCATACTCTCGTGCGCATCATATTACGAAGCTAAAGAAGTGCGATTTTCACGAAAACTTGGCCTTTGACCTGGCATAGTGGGGTCACTTATTGACCTAACACACAAACACGTACCAATCGCGAGATCTAGTTAAGGCCAATCTACTGGTGTTTTCCGCTAGGCTCTACCTTATTAGCCTGGAAGCGCCACGGGGTCGCATCGACCCTCGCTACCAGTTCGCGTAAGAACACGGCACACAAAGGCGAGGGTTAAAGTTGCAACATGTTTAAGAACAATGGCACACAGGGACTGTGCCGACGCATCAACTAGCTGTACCGACAATCCAGCAGTGAACTATTCTGGTAGTGTGCCATGAGCCCTGGTCACACAGCCGAGGCAAAATGACGTCTAAAAGTGGCCGCCGGTGTGCGGCACGCCTACCTGTCCGTAGTCCAAGTCCATCGGGAAGAACCGGCCTGGCATCTTGACGAAGCCATCTTTGGCGCCCCAGCGGTTACCGGTCTTCTCCTCGTACAGCCGCTTGAACTCATGCACGGCAGCGTGTATGCTGTCAAACTGCTCCAGCTTGTTGCCGCCCACTGTCGTGCCGAGGCGGCCCCAGGCGCGGAACACCCACACTCTGACGAACAGAGGGTACAACGGTCAATGGCGAACGACACCGACCCCCGCAGGAGATCGAGAGCACACCAGCCACTGACGAACATTCACAACAGTCACTGACGGACACGCTTGGAGCACCGGCGTGGTATATACCACTCACTTGTCTTCCCCACATTCCCCCACAGTTCAGGAACGACAGCGAGCGTCGCAACGAAACTGCCCAACGTCGTGCAATGGCCGCCCGGCCGGCCTGATGGCTTTTGAGCCGATCCGGCCACGGTGTGGTAACTTGGGAGGTAACTTGACATCCGCGACCACTCTGACCTAACAGACCGGCCCGGCTGCCGACTCCGGCCAACAGACCGGCCCGGCTGCCGACTCTGGCCAACAGACCGGCCCGGCTGCCGACTCTGGCCAACAGACCGGCGCGGCTGCCGACTCCGGCCAACAGACCGGCCCGGCTGCCGACTCTGGCCAACAGACCGGCGCGGCTGCCGACTCTGGCCAACAGACCGGCCCGGCTGCCGACTCTGGCCAACAGACCGGCCCGGCTAACGACTCTGGCCAACAGACCGGCCCGGCTAACGACTCTGGCCAACAGACCGGCCCGGCTGCCGACTCTGGCCAACAGACCGGCCCCGCTGCCGACTCTGGCCAACACACCGGCCCGGCTGCCGACTCTGGCCAACACACCGGCCCGGCTGCTGCCGACTCTGGCCAACAGACCGGCCCGGCTGCCGACTCTGGCCAACGGACCGGCCCGGCTGCCGCCCCTGACCAACACACCGGCCCGCTGCCGCGTCTGACCGCCCCCTGACCTGCTGCCGTGGTCGCTCTGCAGCACCTGCAGCCGGTAGAAGGAGTTACGGCCGGAGCCGGCGTCCACCTGGCTCAGCACCGCGTTCAGAAACTCGCCGTTAGTCTTGTAGACGTGCGCCTCGTCCTCTAGCTCCGAGCCCGGGTCGACGGCGGCGCCGCCCTTCAGACGCACGCGCTGCGTACCCGTCGGCAGCGCACTCGAACCGACCTGCCGGGCAGCAGAGCGCTCAGGCTGGCGGCCGCGTAACGGGCCACCAGGAAGACGCACTGGAGACGGGAGAAGGCAGAGGGAGAGAGTTGGGGCTGGGAGTCGGCAGTCAGGTAAGGCTGCCACCCATGAAAGCGAGACATGCTGAGATAGACAAATAAATGTACGGAGCCAACGGCGGGAGAATGGGAGTACACGGCCACGGAGCGAAGGGCGCAGATGAGCAATACAGAATACCGGATAGAAGACCACTCAAATCATGCGGAAATATGCATGGAATGTTAACTCACTGATCATCCTTCATTAGTTCCAGTGTCTAAAATATAACCCAGCCTGCAGCAAAGGAGACCTGCAGCGCATACACCAACGTTCCATCCAAGCTTGATGCAGTATCTTTACAATAATGTTGTTTCAGCGACAGTGGCCGCCAATACGTACTCTTGGACGGTCCCGCCTTCACGATCGTCTCCTCCTCGCTGCCAAGACGATCTGCCACCTGCAAACACGGGTAAATGAGCAAGCTGAACACTCTGAGGGGCTGCGCAGCTCGATGGTTTGACGCCCCCAGCTGGAGAGCACAAGCGCGCCTGTCGCTGGTGCCGTCCGCCGGAAACACAAGACCCCGAGCGGGCGCGAGCCCAGTGTGTGTCGAGCCCGTATCTGTGCCCCGGCCTGCGCTACCGGTCCCAGGGCTCATCAGAGGCTCTGCTGCTGTGGGGCGGCCAGTGGCCGACTGCCCTCGCTCCGGACAGTCGGTGTATGAGCCGCCCCGTCCAGGCATACAGTACGGGAGCCGCACATGCCATCACACCGGAGACGAGCCGCACAAGCTACTGCTGTAGGGATGAGCCAGACCAGCTGCTGCTCCAGAGACGAGCCGCACAAGCTCCTGCTCTAAAAACGAGCCGGACCAGCTGCTGCCCCAAAGACGAGCTGCACAAGCCGCCACACCAGAGACGAGCCGCACAAGCCGCCACACCAGAGACGAGTCACACAAGCCGTCGCCACAAAAGAGACGAACCGCATCACAGACGAGCCGCACAAAGATCACAAAGAAGATTGTGTGTCACCCGTAAACGGCCCCGGGGAATCGTCCGTTTGCACTGAGCTCTCACGTGTCCCCCCTCCCCCTCCCACTCCCCCCCCCTTCCCACACCGCCATCCCCGTCCAATCCAGTCCAGTTCAGAGCGGTACGGTACAGTCCGGTTCCAGCCAGTCCTGTCTGGGCCAGTATAGCCCAGAGGCGGCTCACCTTGGCGCCCCAGTCGGCCATGTTGTCGGCCTCGATCGTCGTGAACACGACGCCCGCCTTCAGCTTGTCGACCGTCTCCGGCGGGATTGCCTGCACGCCGTGCCGCTTGGCCGCCTTCAGTAGCTTATGCCCTGCCTCCAGCGTCTCTACGGAGGGCAGCGCACGCGCCGGTCAGCGCGCCACGCATGCCGCCTGGGCACCAGCGCTCGTAAGGAAAGGAGCTTCCGGGCAGAGCGGTAGCAGCGAACCCACTGACTGGCCGATAAAGCAAGCGGCCATTACGGAGTTCGCTCACCGATACCGCACGATCTTACTGTTGCGTACCTGTACAGTTCATCATAGGGTCATCCCGCCTGACAATGACGTTCTGTGACGTTACAGTGACATAGACACTCGGTGTCTGCGTTGGACGACGACGGTATGATGCGAATGTAGATTTCACCCCAGTGTGCAATACAGTAAACAGCACCAGCCTCCTGTGCGGAGCAGTAAGGTCGGAGAGCATCCCGTCTAGACTATAACCCTGCCGGGCACCACTGGAAGCGCGCACCTCTGCTGCAGATGACAGCAGCCGTGGAGCGCGTGACCGACTTGGCCAGCTTGCCGCCCCGCCGCTCCACCAGCTTGACCATCTCCTTGTCCACGTTTCCGACCACCACGAACGTCAGCTTGGTCAGCGGCGTGGCGTTCGCCTTCTGCTCGCTGCCGACACACACGAGCCGTCACGAAACTGCGTCCAGCCTCCGCACAGCAGTCAGTGGGACCGAGTCCCGCCTCCAACACCACACAGCAGTCAGTGGGGCCGAGTCCAGCCTCCAACATCGCACAGCAGTCGGCGGGACCGAGTCCAGCCTCCAACACCGCACGGCAGTCTGTGGGACCGAGTCCCGCCTCCAACACCGCACGATAGTCAGTGGGACCGAGTCCAGCCTCCAACATCGCACGGCAGTCAGTGGGACCGAGTCCAGCCTCCAACATCGCACGATAGCCAGCGGGACCGAGTCCAGCCTCCAGCACCGCACGGCAGTCAGTGGGACCGAGTCCAGCCTCCAACATCGCACGATAGCCAGCGGGACCGAGTCCAGCCTCCAGCACCGCACGGCAGTCAGTGGGACCGAGTCCAGCCTCCGACACCGCACGGCAGGCAGTGGGACCGAGTCCAGCCTCCATCATCGCACGGCAGCCAGCGGGACCGAGTCCAGCCTCCAACACCGCACGGCAGTCAGTGGGACCGAGTCCAGCCTCCAACATCGCACGGCAGGCAGTGGGACCGAGTCCAGCCTCCATCATCGCACGGCAGCCAGCGGGACCGAGTCCAGCCTCCAGCACCGCACGGCAGTCAGTGGGACCGAGTCCCGCCTCCAACATCGCACGGCAGTCAGTGGGACCGAGTCCAGCCTCCAAACCGCACGATAACCAGCGGGACCGAGTCCAGCCTCCAACACCGCACGGCAGTCAGCGAATAGCGCTTAAATACAACAGCCATCGAAGGCAACTCACGTGCAGCGTCCCAGAGCGGCTGCATTTGGAAAGGGCGCATACAACAGACCAGACCACTCCAAACTGGAAGAGGACGCATGCAACAAACCACCTCACTTCAAACTGGAAGGAGGTCCACGACGAGACACTGCCCAAGGACTCGCAAGCACGACAACTGATTGTTTTCCCAGGACTCTCAGAGCACAAGGCCACAGAACAGACTAATCCAAAGAGAGGCACCAGAACCCGCCGCGACCCCCCACTTCCAAACCAATAGTAAAGAATTCAGTTCAAATAAGTGAGAGAATTACATCAGCTCACCGGACGTGAATCAATGCAACACAAGCCAGCCGAGCACAGGACAAAAACAAAATGTCACGGACCATAAACACCATCTTAATCGAAATGGTTCCATTTGCCTTCACAAACGTGCCTTATCATATGGACCAGCATCACAGACAAAGATCACATCAAGTTGAGGTGGTTCAGGGCTCTGGTCAGATGGGAGTAGCCACAGCAGCACGTCTCGTCACTGTGAGCCCCGGTTTTCTCGAACATCGGCGAACCTCTCTGAGAGGTAGGAGATGCAAGGCAAGTGACACTCACGCCTTCTCCTGCTTGATGGTGGCTGTAGTCTGGCCCAGGTCCGCCATCACGCGCTTACCCAGCTTGCACTTGTATTTCTTTCTGCAGAGGAGGGGCAGCCGTCAGTTACGATCACATGTCATCCCGGCCCAGCAGGGGAGGGGTAGCCGTCGGTCACGATCACATGTCATCCCTGCCCAGCAGAGGGGTAGCCGCCGGTCACGATCACATGTCATCCCGGCCCAGCAGAGGAGGGGCAGCCGTCGGTCACGATCACATGTCATCCCGGCCCAGCAGAGGAGGGGTAGCCGTCGGTCACCATCACATGTCATCCCGGCCCAGCAGAGGAGGGGCAGCCGTCGGTCACGATCACATGTCATCCCGGCCCAACACTCCGTCCACACCGGCCGACTAGCGCGCGGCAGTGGCGAAACACTTCAACTTGGGACATCGGTGACGATTTAACGCAATTGCTGGGAGGTGGTTACAATTTGGTGCACTCCTGGCACGGGAATACACACTATTTTTCGAAACTTTTATGATACCTGTGGGTAACTAAAACAGCATCGTCCTTCAGCAGTGTAACTCTTGCCCCGGGTGCACCTGGGCCCTGATGCCGAGGGCACGAACCAGCCGCGCTTTCACGGGGACCTCACGATCCCACTTCAGTGGGTGCTGCCGACCGCGCCGCTCCGGATGAGCTACGTGGGCTGCAGCCATCGGCCCCAGGGACACAGCCGTGGGCGTAAGGCGGAGCCAATGGCTGCCTGTGCAGCGCGGGTGAGCTAGGGGGGCTGCAGCCATCGGCCCCAGGGACACAGCCGTGGGAATAAGGCGGAGCCAATGGCTGCCTGTGCAGCGCGGGTGAGCTAGGGGGGCCGCAGCCATCGGCCCCAGGGACGCAGCCGTGGGAGTAAGGCGGAGCCAATGGCTGCCTGGGCAACGTCCCACCAGCAGGACAGGCAGACACGTACAGGAACGGGTATTCGTCGGCCAGCTCCTTCGGCACAGTGAACAGCCGGCGCTTGGGCTCTTTCTCCACGTTGGTACACTTGGTCCACTCCGTGAGGTTGCCCTGACATTGGTAGCCGACTCCGCTCCTGAGAACACGGACACACAGTCAGCGCACCGTCACGCCCACGCAGTACGATGGGAACTGGAGAACGATGATGGGAACTGGAGAGCGATGATGGGAACTGGAGAGCGATGATGGGAACTGGAGAGAGATGATGGGAACTGGAGAGCGATGATGGGAACTGGAGAGCGATGATGGGAACTGGAGAGCGATGATGGGAACTGGAGAGAGATGATGGTAATTCGCATTACACAGCACGTTGTTTACTAGGGCCTGATTGTGGGCCCGGACAGGCCGGCGCGCTGAGAAGAGTTTAGTCCGCTAAGAACATAAATTTTACCAGCTACCGTAGACCCCATCCGCGACCGAGAGCCGCGCGGGCAACTGGGCACGAGTCTGACCTGACCCGACCACGGCCTCTGGTACGATCACAGCCGGCAGTGCATGCAGAGCCCTAGCCTGGGAGCAGCCAACCCCCCCCCCCCCCCCCCCCCCTCTGAGGCCCCGCCGGAGCCCCAGGAGCCTCACTTGAACGACAGCTGTCCCTTCTTGCAAATGGTGCACGGGTTCAGCGCTCCGAACGTCATCTGGTCCGCCAGACGGTCCAGCATCTGCGCTTGGAGGGGCATGCAGTCAAGGACTGTGAAATGCCACTGGCGCTAATTTACAATTACCTATGACATTGAATCTCCTCACGAAGCCGTGCATAATCCCGTCATGACCACGCATTTACACTTCGAAGGCAAACACCCTGACAAAAGCGGCACGTGAGGCCCCATCTGGTGCGCGTGTGAACGGCCGCAGAGTATCTATTCATCTTTTCCGGTGGCATTGAACTGTGATATACGCTAACTTATCGGGTTCCCGCCAATAGCCTGTGAGAACAACCGCGATGTCAGGCTTCTATTATGGCCGTTACCAGCCCAGCCACAACACTCTCATTCCCAAGTCAGCACAATGCTACAGTTGTGAGCTACTACCGTGCTTCCGTCAGAGGACCCCATGTCGCGGGCGTCCTGCCGCCGTTGCCAGAGCGCCCTCCCGTCCTGCCACATCCCCGGAAGCGTCCTCCCATCCTACAGCCATCCTCCCGCCCTCTAGCATCCTCCCGTCCTGCAGCCGTCCTTCCGTCCTGCCGCCCTCCACACCCGAGATGTCCTCCCGTCCTGCACCGCCCCCAGGGTGTCCTCCCGTCCTGCAGCCGCCCCGGGGCGTCCTCCTGTCCTGCAGCCGTCCCCGGGGCGTTCTCCCGTCCTGCAGCCGTCCCCGGGGCGTCCTCCCGTCCTGCAGCCGTCCCCGGGGCGTTCTCCCGTCCTGCACCGTCCCCGGGGTGTCCTCCCGTCCTGCAGCCCTTCCCAGGGGCGTTCTCCCGTCCTGCAGCCGTCCCCGGGGCGTCCTCCCGTCCTGCAGCCGTCCCCGGGGCGTTCTCCCGTCCTGCAGCCGTCCCCGGGGCGTCCTCCCGTCCTGCAGCCGTCCCCGGGGCGTTCTCCCGTCCTGCAGCGGTCCCCCCGTCCTATAGCCGTCCTCCCGTCCAGCCGCCCTCCACGCCCGAGATGTCATCCCGCCCTGTAGCCGTCCCCGGGGAGCGTCCTCCCGTCCTGCCGCTCTCCACGCCCGAGATGTCCTCACGTATGTAGCCGTCCCCGGGGGGCGTCCTCCCGTCCTGCAGCTGCTCACCGGGTCCTCGCCGGTGGGCACCTCCTGGTCATTCTGTTCCAGCAGCAGCTGCAGCTCACGCTTGGCGAGCGACTTCAGCTGGTCGCGGTACTTGAACATGGTCTGGTTCTGCTGTTTGATAACGGCGCGATCGCCGGCGTCCGGGTCTGGTCGCTTTTTCTTGGCCGGCCCGTCCACCACATCTTCCGCTGGCCGTTTCCTGCCCAGATAACACCGCCAAGCTAGGTCCCGGGGTCATATCACGGCGTCAGACCACGTTGGGCGTCGGCAGGTTACAAACAGGTCATGGATCAAATTACTAGGGCAGGCCACGGGGTCAGGCCAGCCAGATTACTTATCACTTGGTCTCTGCTCGGCCTTTCTTCGTCTCACAGAGCCACGTCACGGGCTTAGGTCACTGGGTCAGCCCCGGGGTCAGCTCATGGGATCAGGTCAGTGGGTCAAACCATCGAGTCAGAGCACTGGGACAATTCATGAAATCGGGTTACAGGCACTGGAGGGGCGTTCACATCAGGCTTTCAGGCAAAGCAATATCAGGTTAATTAAAGAGACATGCTAGGAAGAAGGCTCCATGCGCACGCCTGGTATGACAAAACGGGCGTCAGTCATTGAGTTATGGCCAGGCCAGGGTGTTACCAAAAACAATGGTAACAACCAGTCACGGAACTTGGAGTCAGTCACGTCGACAATGGATCGGGATCAGCCATTTCATCATATGCTCTCATTGGAGACATTACACATTGCCAGCTTTATCAAGTTTCTGGTCCATGAGCAGCAAAAGATACAAAAACGTTCCTGCATACTTGGCATGCAGTCTTTATTCAGCAAGCTGCTGTCCACTCGGTGAACTGCCTAAGACAACAACACCTACCACCACCTACCCTTCGATTTTCTTGAGCTTGTCTCTGAGCATGTGTTGGTCTTCCTTCGACAGTGTCTTGAAGCCAGGCAGCTTGGAGGCCTCCTCGAAGAACTCCAGCTCCCCACGCTGCTGGACGAAGCACTCGACGTGGTGCCAGCCCTGGTAGGGTCCATAGGCACGCGCGCGGTCCGTGTCGAACACCATCTTACCGACGCGCACGTCACCCTGGGGGCACAGAGCGTCCCCGGGTCAGCGGCAGCAGGCCCTGCTCAGGTCAACTCACGTGTCGCCGGCGACGGCGCGGGCGGAGACAGGGCCGGTGGGCCGCAGTATGTCGTCTTGCAGCCTGACACCCACAGTAGAGGACGAGGCAAAACAGGGCGCCGAGCGAAGACGAAGCGCGGCTGAATGCCGGAGCGGGCCGCACATGGTGACTGGCTCCTCTTACCTTGGGGATTTTCTCCTCACACTTCCTGCATTTGGCCGCGCCCGACTTGGCATACTCGGTCAAAAAGTCTTTGAGCGCCATCTTATCGGCCGCCTTGGCTTTGGCCTTACTGCCACCGCCTGACGCGTCGCCGGCACCCGCTGCCGCTCCTGCGCGAAACACCGGCATCGGCACGTGGTGACAGTGGAGCGGGCGCGCACGCCGTTTACCCGATGACTTTGGTGCGACGCGGCCTGTGCTTCGTCACAGCCGTCGGCAGCATTGTGACGGTCGTAGGCGCAGCCGTTGCATCTCATCGAGCGCAGAAGGGGTTGGCTCACCATCAGAGCAAATGGCCGGCTGCCTAACGCCAACTCACGTCAAAACACTAGTGGCTGTCTAGTTCGGATAATACACATCCCATCTATGCCTGCGTTCACTGGCCCCTCCCCGCCCCCTCGATTACTGCGCACCGCAGAGCACCTGATGACTCAGACAGCCCAGTGGTCCAACCAACAGTGCGTTAATCGCCCACGCAGTCTTCAACACGTCAACAGTCCATGCACAGCGAGACTGATGACCGCTGACATCACAGATTTTTCAACTAGGACGCCTTCATTGACGGGACCCCACCACACCTATTTTTTCTCGAATCTTCTCCTGGTCGTCGAAGCGGAGGGACTCAAAGTGGGCGATGTCTGCCACCGCCTTCGGGCGCTGCTTCTTGAAGAAGCAAGCAAAGTGGTACCAGCTCGCCTGCTTGCCGTCAAAGAATGGCGACTGGAAGACAATCAAGCTGGTTACGAGGTGGAAAACATGAGGATCTTGGGTCTTACAGAATTAGTATTAGATGCACAACAGCGCGCCGCATTACCCGGCAACCACGACGCTTTTACATCACGGCACTGCATTTACAACAAAGTGCACATAAAGGGACATCCCAGCATCACTGCACGAAATATGTTTAATTACCCATCATTCTTGAGACCACCACAGGATGTGGTCAAGGACTAGTTTGCACACAAACATTGACATTGTCACACAGTGGCAATAAACAAGGGTATACATTAATTTTCCTTAGGAAACCATATGACAGGAAAAGGCAATGTTGCATCCCTTTTAAACCGACCGAAAGCATCACCAGCTGACCTGTCCGTGTAGTAGGCAGACGACCTGGGCCGCGGGCCAGTCCACAGCCGAGGCCCAACACTCACCTGGACCATGGCGGCCATGCGACCTGGGCCGCGGGCCAGTCCACAGCCGCGGTCCGACACTCACCTGGACCATGGCGGCCATGCGCAGCGTGTCCTTGGCGATGTTGCCTTTGCAGCCTTTACAGCCAGCCCGGCCCGACTTGGCGTACTCGGCGCGGAACGGCAGGTCCTCCTCCATGGCTGTCAACACAGGCAGCACATTTTGGGGTGTCGGTAGCGTAGTGGTTAACGCGTCTGCGTTAACCACTGCGCGTCTGGGAAACCAGAGGTACGGGGTTCGATTCCTCACGGTGCTCGCCCTTCCTGCCAGGGTGAAGAGGCAGGCGACGCCACATAGCCCCAGCAGCTAAGTGCGTCGTAAAGCCCCAATGACACACACACACAGGCAGTACAGTGAGAACTGCTCTAGGTGGGCATAGTTATGGATGAATTCCTATGGAAAAGACTATACACTTTCAAACATGCCATACAATTATGCAAAGAGTCAGCAGTGACAGGTGGCTACTACATTACACAGTGGCAATTGGACTGAAGAGCCTGAATGCATACAGACCAGGGATGACTCCAAAGGAGGCATGTGCAACCACATACTCTGAAGCCTGCCTAGCCCCCCGGCCCCAGGAGAATGCTGGCAGGGTTGGCATGACAAAGCTGTCTGAAATAACTGTTCTACAATGACACAATGTTTAATTTTTGATAATTTCAGCACTTGGCAGCCCCGTCGCTCAGCTGCTTTCCTCAGAATACTTGACTCCCTAACCACTTGCAGGTACACCTCAAATTTTTGTCGTGGGGAACCCAACCCAAACTGGCCCTATCACGAATCCTCAAGGAGGCACAACAAGGAGGAAGAAGAAAAAGACAATAATAACAACTTTTCAGTCTGTTTGACAGCCTTGCAGTTCTATTGTTATGTTTTGGTTCACCGCAGCATGCATTGTGAGACCATCTGCTGCTGCTGCCGCCGGTACTGCCGCGCCAAACACCAGTTTTCCTCAACATCCTTGCTTGATCCCCCTCCAGCCATGAAATATTGGTGGTGCTCTTTCCCCTGATGCATGCTGCATACATTCAGATAGAGGTGTTGCCAGCTATGACAAAAATTATCCAAAAATAGTCTGAGATACACATACACTTTTTGGAACAGAATATTGTTGGGGTTTGATGGTTGCAAAATGGCCTGGATTCAGCATTTCCCTGGCCAGCCCATTGACTCCATAGGAAATATAATTTAATGTGATGCAAAATGCCATGATACACAATAATGCATACCATGCACCTGAATTCTAAGACATCATCAAGTGTCACATGTCAGATGACATACAGGACAGATGCACATACATAATCATGCATGTCACATTGAAACGTGGCAGATGGGTGGTGTCACCAGCACACAAGGAGTGGGTTTCAAGGTATGGAAGCTTAGCACCTGCAGAATCTGAAATTTTGTACCTCATGATGGGAAGTTCAAAGAGGGGTTCCACAGAATTCAAGAAGTGCAGTGCACCTAGGCCCATGTGAACAAAGCTGTGTGGAGCTTGGTCTGGCCAGGTGAACTTTGCCTGAACTAGCATTCATGGCTTTTCCTTTATGTAGGCCAGACTACCAGGAGATGCGTACATCTGACAGGGTGAATTTTGTTCAATGAGGTGTTTCACCACAGTTGCAAACCTTCACAGCAATTTAAGCAGAGCTGGCTTTTGACACTTGACCTGGTTTGCAAAATCCGACACCTCATGGCCATGCCCTTCTTACGACATAACTCGCACCAGTCTCTGAGCTACACGTCTGCATAGACGTGCAGGTTATGTGATAAATACAGGCTGTGCCAAGGCCCAGCCCAGCCCCCCGCACACCTTTGCCGAGCCGTCGGACCGGCCCGTCCCCAGCCGGCGCTCAGGTCTACGCCCGGCCGCCATCGGAAGTGCCGCCGGACCGGCCCGTCCCCAGCCGGCGCTCAAGGTTTACGCCCGGCCGCCATCGCAAGTGCCGTCGGACAGGCCCGTCCCCAGCCGGCGCTCAAGGTCTACGCCCGGCCGCCATCGCAAGTGCCGTCGGACCGGCCCGTCCCAAGCCGGCACTCAACGCCAACGACTGCCCACCCGAGGGGGCAGGAGCCCGCCCGGAGGGCAGCAATGCGTTCGATGCTACACAACCTACGCAACCTGCAGCTTGGCACGAACACCGCGTCGCCACTGCCGGACGTCACAGCGTCCCCTGCAGCTTGGCATGACCACCGTATTATTACCGCCGGATGCCACGGCGTCCCCTTGCAGTTTGACACGACCACCGTGTCGTCACCGCCGGACGTCACAACGTTCCCTGCAGCTTGGCACGACCACCGTATCGTTACCGCGGGATGCCACACCGTCCCCCTGCAGCTTGGCACGACCACTGCGTCGTCACCGCCGGACGTCACAGTATTCCCTGCAGCTTGGCACGACCATCGTATCGTTACCGTCGGATGCCACACCGTCCCCCTGCAGCTTGGCACGGCCACTGCGTCGTCACCGCCGGACGTCACAGCACTCCCTGCAGCTTGGCACGACCATCGTATCGTTACCGTCGGATGCCACACCGTCCCCCTGCAGCTTGGCACGGCCACTGCGTCGTCACCGCCGGACGCCACAGCATTCCCCGCAGCCCGACACAGCCAGGTGTTGAGCTATGCACCGGATGGAACAGCAGCCGAGACCAGGTGACTGCGGGCACACGAGCCCCGCGTCGCCACTGAATGGTAGCCCAGCATGCAACTGTGTCACCCATGTCTGGCAAACAATTACATGTCAGCATTGGGCCAGCTGACCTTCCCCAGCCATTTTCAACCACTTTTTGGTGATATAAAAGGCTTAGTTATATAGCATTTGAGTCACACAAGCTTTCTCTCACTCTCCCTCTCTGCCAGGACTGGTGAGGGCCAGTAATAGATGCCAGTGCTGGATGTGCTACTGAGGTATTGCGCTTTGGTTATGGATAACAAAGCAGTACTGGAAACAGTTCCAACAATTATTTTGGGGAACTATTTTGAGGTTACCCAAGTATCTATTATACTCTATTATCACTAAAACCCTGTTACTCCATTTGCCTTACAGTGATCAGGCCAAAAAATTGAACTGCTGAGTTGTTCACATCTGTAATTTTGAGCATGACTTCCAGATATAATGGCTGCCAATTGGCTCTCAATGTTGTGCAGGGTACAATAATGTAATCTAACCATGATGCATTGAGGAGCATACAGCTAGAGTTGGTTATTTTATTCAAGGCACATCTGCATGGTGTTTGTCTGCACCTGTTTGTACAAGAAAAAATAGCCCACACACATTGTGGATGCACACATACACATAGATACTCTGATGCATAGCTACACACAAAGATATTTGCTCACCAGAAAATAATGCTGTCTAGAGCAGCCCTTCCCCTTGAAAGTATAACAATACCTGTAAGTGAGATCATGTGATCATATCTCATGCTCCCTTTGACATCTTCAAATGTGGAACATTGCCTTTTAAACACCATTACACAAAACAGCATTTTGTATTGCTAGCGGTAGCCATACTGAAAGCCCAGCAGTCATATTCCTTCAGGTATTTACCATACAAAATTGCAAAGCAGATGGGTACAAAACCATCGTGAAAAACAAAATATCAAACAAATATCACGGGCCGAATCAAAACCAGCAGGGCACGCGCGCAAAGCGTCAGTACTAACACATGGACATTATACGTGGCAGACTGACGCGGAGCCAGGGCACTTCACATAAGTCACCTGTATAACAGTGAGTAGCTCCAACAACCCCTTGCGATATCCCTCCACGCGACCCACCACCACGCAGCTCTCACGATCAATCCACACCGAAGGCAAGACACGTCGCAACCGGCGCGACGGGCGCGCCAAAATACGACCTCGCTGCCGGTGGGCGACAGCAATACAGGGTAGCGGCATCTATGAGCAATAAATTGCACTAAAGCTTGTATTTCCTTCGCTGGTATTTGGACTATGTTATCTGCTCTGCCCTGCCCGGCCTCTTCGCGTCCTGCGGCGGTTGGTGGTGTCGCGGATTGGGTGCGACTTCAAGACGCCTATACCATTTTGCGTATATGGCCTTTTATCATTGGCAGTAGAACACTGTCTTATTACAATAAGGCTACTTAACTCCAACTCTGGTTGCCTAGCTGCTAGGAAACCTGAGTACGATGCCTGATCTATCTGGGAAGGTGGCTATAGTTACAGGTATGGAGTGCTAATTTGCTTGATGCGTGAGGACTTCCTGCAGGTCGTGGCTCATGGAATTAGTTCAACAGGGTTATAGGCTGCTTGCCATTTGAATTTTCACTGATCACTGGTATAAGTTTGATGCTGTTTTGTTGAGCATGGGTCCAGACTGCAAAAAATCCATGTTTTCTGATTATGTCCAGGGTATCAACCACATCATGGCAGCAATTGAGCTGCATACAGGTCACAAATCAAGCCAAAGCTATGGAGCTGAAATCCCTATTCAATTCAGAGTTACATTCCTGACTTAGTTCCTTATTATTGCTGGAAAGATGGGAAATAAGATGAATTATTCTCTTCAGATAGGATAAATATTATAATTGATGAACCAGATAACTTGCACAACCTGATTTTTAGCTCAAAAGCTGATGCAAAGTTGGTGAAGAGTATGAATGTATGTAAACATTAAAGGGAGTGCCATATTTGAAGATATTGAAGCAGGCATGAGATATGATAAAATAAGATTATTTATAACTATGAGTACACTTAAAAGTCAAAAAGAGAGCTCTAGAAAATATGTTTGCTCATTTTTATCCAATGTGTTTCTCACTATTGCCCTGTCGGGTTGCATCATCTGAACTTCCACAGTGCTGATGGAGATTTTCATATGTTACATGACTGCTGTCATGTGACATGGAAATCATGCTTATGACTGCCAGCCCAGGTATCAAAAATTGCAGTTTTCTTGGCCTCAATCAGAGCAGAGCCAATGGAATGGCAAGATTTGCATCTTTGTGAGTGTGTTGCTCAGAATGTACAAGAGCTTAGGTTAAGAAAGGCAGAGCTGTGAACTGCACCAAATGGTCCCCAATATGGCCATTATTGGAACTCCTTTCAAATGTGGATCACTCCTTGTAATAGTATATCTGTGCAGGGCTCAGCTACAGTGTCTCAGGAGTATCTCAAAAATGAAGGGGGGCAAGCCCATTCTTGAGAGATATTCATAGCATATTCATTCCTGAGTACCTACAAAACTGCTATGAGGGTAGGAAGGCTATGGCTTCCATTGTCCTCTCAGATGCATGATGCTAAGCATGGTACCTGCAAACAGTTTTTTGGCCAGTAATGGTTGTTTTGTGTGGGAACCAAGAATATTGACTCAACTTTATATGACTGTATGAGCAGAAGTGGCATGGCTGAGTGCTATGCATTGCAGACTTGTTCGACTCTGGACCCCTGAATTTGTATTCAGATCTTGTGTTGTTTTGAATTTTTCAGGTTGTTTTCAATGTATTCTATTGACACTGGTTAATTGCTCACATGATTGCAGGCTCATTGTCATAACTGCCTTCATGTCGGCAATGTCTTTTGGTCTGTGAGGTGGCAAATATTGTACAACTGATTATCATGTTGTGCTATTCAGGTTCCTATCTTGAAACTGAGACTGTGTTAGGAGCAGTTGCTGCACTGAACCATCTGTGGACCCTGGCAGGTCACCAGTCTGCTAGCAGCAGCAGTCTGTGCTGAATCATCTGTAGATGGTGTCTGGTGACCGGCAGGCGCCAGCTCAGGCATCGGCGCGGCCACGGCGGCGCACTTTGCGTCGCTGGGAGCGCGGCTGACGCTAGCCGGCCGGGACGTGGCGCGGCTGACCGAGGTCAGTCAGCAGTGTCAGGCAGCAGGCGCCGCGCCCGACAGCCTGATCTGTCAGCCCGGCGACGTCTGCAGTGAGCAGTACTGCCAGCAGCTGGTGGACGCCACGCTGAAGCAGTTTGGTCAGCTTGACATCCTGGTGGGTGGTACAGCCGCCGCTGCCGGGGCGCGAATGTCCGATCTGGCTCATTCAGTGAAGGATACTTCCGTGTTGTACCCGGGGAGGGAAAACCATGCTGGACTGAATCACATTTTATGTCATCACGTCTTTCGCCAGCAGTGTGAGTGTGTGATAGTGCCTGGGTCTCCCTGACTGCGCCTCTGTCGCCAGGTGAACAGCGCCGGCTGTCTGGTGGGCGGGCCACTGGAGTCGATATCTCTTGCGCAGTACTGATCAGCAGATGGAGCTGAACACCCGCTCTGTGGTCTGCCTCAGCCAGCTGGCCATACCACACCTGCTGAAGACGCGCGGCAACATCGTCAACGTGTCAAGCGTCACGGGCACCAGGGCGGTATGGCTCACTGTCTTTTGAAGAAGGGAGGGGGGTAGGTGGACAATCCACGTGCCGCAGCGCTGGTGGCCTCCGTTGGCCTGAGGAGCCTGTCCAACTTGTCCACTGAAAAGACCAGGCCAGATCACCTTTGTAACATCAGCTCATGCAGCATACTCACCCTTACTCACATCTCAGTTATCAAAGGTCTCGTACCAGGCGTCAGGTGGATCGGCGTGGTGGCTTGAGACAAAGTGGTTCTGGTGCGTTGGAGCGCGTCGTCTGCCGCTGACGTCCAGTCGAGCGGGGCTACTTGCTTCAGCAACTGGTAGAGCAGGCCCATGAGAGAAGCAGCTGGTGGCCGGAGGCGATGGCTATATGCTACCATTCTGATCAGCCATCGCAGCTGGGATGTGTGGTCGGACGCGTACAGTCCAGCACCGGAAAGCGGCTTTGAAAGTATAGGTGCTGTCTCGTGCACCAAGTTTAAGGTACCCCATTTTGGGTCACCAGTAGATGGTTGCGTGCTCTGGTAAGGGCCAAGGCCTAAGATGTGTCGTATACATGGAGCAGTATTTGCTTTCACCATAATTATTTTCATTAAATGTGCGATCCGTCATGACTTGCGCAAGCCTGTCTTAAATTCGCATCAGTCAGGTAGCCGTACGATGGCGTGAAGGGCGTGCGGAGTTTGGTAACGTGAGCGTTGCGCGCGTGCATCAACTTCAGGGCACCACACAGGATGTGCCCTGACTTATACACTGCATGATTTGGGTGCATTTGGGTCCCCAGCCACAGTTCAATGTTGACCTCTGGCAACATTGCCCTGTGTTGTGTGCAATGTACAATAGCATATGTGTAATCGTGAGTGCTCAGTGGTTGGTGGTTGGTGGCTTTCACTCTTTCGTTGCAAAAAAAAAAACGAAAAAATTGCACATAAGCTGTAAAAGCGCGGATGACGGCCGGCGTTCGGCGTCTGCGGTGATGCTGAAGTGCGCCTGCCGTCGCTTGCGCCGGCAGTTCCCGGGCGTGCTGGCGTACTGCGTGTCGAAGGCGGCGCTGGACCAGCTGACGCGCTGCTCGGCGCTGGAGCTGGCCGGCCGCGGCGTGCGCGTCAACTCCGTCAACCCCGGCGTCATCGTCACAGCACTGCACAAGCGTGGCGGCATGGACGATCAGAAGTACCAGGAGGTGAGGCGGCCGGCGGAACCGCACGTCACGCGACACCACGCTACGCCGCGCCGCGCCACGCCACGCCATGCCATGCCATGCCATGCCATGCCATGCCATGCCATGCCATGCCACGCCGCGCCACGCGCCACGCGCCATGTGCCACGCCAAGCCACGCCACACATCCGCCACACGCCAGCAACACCACGCCATGCTATGTCATGCCATGCTACGTCACGCCATGCCACACCACGCCGTGCCATGCGATGCCATGCCGCGCCATTTCATGCCACGCCACGCCACGCCATGCTATGCCATGCCACACCATGCTATGCCATGCCACGCCATGCTATGCCACGCCACGCCATGCTATGCCACGCCACCACGCCACGCCATGCTATGCCACGTCACGCCACGCCACGCGCCACGCCACGCCACGCCACGCCACGCCACGCCACACAGCCGGCGAAGGCTGGACGCTGCATCGCGTATGCTTGGCGATGGGCGCGATCTACCAACTGTAGTGGCATCAACAGAAACCAGATTTCGTAACGTTTGAAGTAAGTCACAACTTCTGATTCGTATAGAAATGATGTAAGTTATTTTTATCATGCAATCTGCTTTGTGAAGTCTCCTGCAGCATCGCCTTTTACGTCGTGATTTGCCGTGTTCAGCCGGGCCGTTGTTGACGCCCCCCACCCGTTTTCAGTTCCTGGAGCACTGCAAGACGACGCACGCGCTGGGCCGGCCGGGCGAGGTCATGGAGGTGGCGCGGCCGATCGCCTTCCTCGCCTCGGATGACGCCTCCTACATCACGGGCGTCACTCTGGCCGTGGATGGCGGCCGCGGGATCATGTGTCCACGCTAGCCGGCCGGGAGACCGATCCGCGCACCATCTGGTGGCGCGCTTCTGCTGCCATTTGTTGTAGGGGCGACACGCTGCAGGATGCCACCGTGGCTAGACAATAATTTAGCAAACGTGATTGAAACAGGCTTAGCACGTTATGGTGTAGTTATGTGTATGATAATAGCTGGGGCTAATCGTGAATCGGATATATTTTAATAAACAATCAAGGATAGAATGTTTGTCGTGAAAAGGTGTCAAAACAGTATTTTTGAAGCTTGGGTGCTCTTATTGGCTGAATCCTTATCTCATACATTATATATACTGTCGCACAATCGAGGTGAATCCAAGCGCATACTGCCACAGGAGAAACTACAGTTCTGTGGTAGGTTGCCACTGAACAGATAATGCAAATGGTTGGATTAGGTTGGGAATGGACTCACATTCAATGAAGACTAGACTTGACAGGGTGTTTACCACTCTTTTCTACCAGTCTGGATGATCACCACCCTTGCCG